TTCTTTCTTTCTTTCTTCCTTCCTTCCTTCCTTTCTTTCTTTCTTTTTCTTTCTTCCTTCTTTCCTTTTTCTCTTCTTTTTGACAAAAATGCAAGTACAACATTTCTAGATATTTTTGTTAAGATTAGGATAGGCAAAAGAAAAAAGAGGAGATAAAAGGATGGGTGGAGGGGAAGATGAGGAAAGGAAAGGGGTTGCAAAAGGGAATTAAGATGTGTAATATAAATGTGCCACTTCCCCCAAGGAATGTGGAATGTGAACATTATGTACTACATACATGATGCATGAACTAAAGTAAAAATTTAAAAAACAAGTAGACGTTTAGATCTGAAAAAGTGAAAAAGAAAAAGCGCAGGTGCCCAAACTGGAGCTCTCTTGCATGTGAAAGGGATTAGCACTAATATTGGCAAGGCAGGACCCTGCCTCAGCCGCTGCTGCATCCTTGGACCTGCTCGGGGGTAGGAAGTCAACAAAGATTATTGCTCACCCTGAGAGCTGGGACCTCAAAAGAATTCTACTTTATTTAACTCGTGCTTCCTTGAGATTGGTGTTCCTAGTTAAGTCATTTAAAGTGTGGTATATGTTTTATTAAAGTACTGTTAAGCAGCAGCAAATCCTAGGGAAATGCTGTGTGGGTGTGTAGTACACCGGGACATAGGACGGGTCCATGATTGGTTTCACTGTCAGTGTTTTGCTAGAATTTGTGAAATGCAAACACAATGAGGGTGGGTGTTACCTGTAGGATGTACTTGAGGGGAAGACAGGCTTTGCGGATGTTCACCACGGACAGAGGGTTTATGATGCTATGGTGAGTGCTCAGCTGGAGTCAGTGCCCACACCCGCCCGGTGGACCCCGCCTGTCCAAGCACTGACTGACTGGCCACTCTCTGTCCTTTGTAGCCTCAGTCGCATCCACCTGCAATGACCCAGGGATGCCCCAGAACGGCACCCGCTACGGAGACAGCCGGGAGCCAGGGGACACCCTCACCTTCCAGTGTGACCCGGGGTACCAGCTACAAGGACAAGCCAAGGTCACCTGTGTGCAGCTCAACAACCGGTTCTTCTGGCAGCCAGACCCACCCACGTGCATAGGTATCGGGCACCAGAAAATGGGGATTTTATATTTGGAAATGAATGTGCATACACACTGTGTATTCAAAATGCTAATGTATTATTTCCTCAGAAATATTTCTCACAAGTTTCTTACATACCCTGGGGCTCTCTGGCACCATACTGAATTTTATGGTAAGCCTTCATTTTATTAGGTGAAATAAAGGAAGTAGTTTGCTTAATGTACAGAAATTGACATTTATCTAACACATCCTGTCCTTGTATAAATATAGATCAAGCCAAGCCCTGTAATTTAAAATTCCAGGTGGCTCAAAACTTATAACCCTACCATTGCTCTTCTCAGTTTTAATATAGAAACATGCCCTTAAGCAAAACCTACTCACTAAAAAGTGCTTTCTCTTTTTTGATGTGCCTTTTCCATAATATTAGTACATTTTAAGTAGAGCTCCCACCACTAGAAATTAGATTGCTTTTGTGAAAATGAAGAAAAAGTAGAATCTTGTTTCTCAGTTTCATTAAAAATTTATTATTTGGCCTTCTTAAAAGGATATGGAATGGCTTTGCAGGTCTGGGTTTGAATAGTCATCTCAGACGTCTATCACAAATATGATTTTAGGGAAATATAAGATATCTCACGTAAAGTGGTAATTACATGTAGATTGCCTCTTCATTCAATTAAATATTTGAACATAGAATGCCTATTTCAAGTATTTCATCTTCACTGTAGATACTCTTCTAAACTTTATTACTTTAATGAACTATCACAGTTTAATTAGTACTTCTTTAGAGTACGTGTGAAAGCTGTAAAATTTAATTAATCTGTGAGGGAGGCGGAGATGTCGCGGTGGCGTGCACGCGGTGAGCGCGCAGCTTGGCCGCGGTGACCTTGAGGGGTGTCCCGCAGTCCCGGTTTTTACTGTGTCGCACGCGGCAGGACTCTCGGCGTCTCTGCAGACTGTGGCGCTCTGCCGGGCACCGTTACAGAGCGCGGGAGGACAGGGGTCGGTCCACGGCTCTGCCTCCGCACCGCTCTGTGTGAGCGTGTCCGTCCTAAGGTTTGGGCCGGTTCTTCGCAGCCCAAACCCGTCCTGGGAGCGCTGCAGGCTTTCTGCGTGTTCCTTCTCCCAAGCAGAGGCTTCACCTACAGGTGCAGGCATCACTCCAGCCCACAGCTGCTTCTCCTTTATCTTCCATTTTGCTTTTTAATTTCTTGGAGATTAAGGGACAGGACAACCAGGAGTTAGTCTTTTAATGGTAATTCATCATTTAGCATTAACTTGAACACAGAATTATAAAATTCGACCATCTTCCCATCTTCTCAGTCTTTTGTTAATTCATCTCCTAGTTACCTAATTTTGGCCAGCGACTAAATAATCCGTTCATCAGCAAACAGCGCACACTACACATCTGTCCGGAGTGTCCGTTCCCAGGGCTAGCTGAAACCCTTGCAGGCAGTTAAGAATCACTTATTCTGGCAAGCAGCCCGGCTACACACAGAGATACTATGTAAGAGAGAGATGGGAGTAAATGGACATTATCTTCTCATTGCAGTGCTCTTTTATCTTCTGAGATGAGGTTATGTCCTGTGTAAGACATTTGCACATGGACTTCAGCCAATCACATATTCACACTCAGTTTAACTGCGGCAAAGATTCACGGTACTTTGTTTTTTACTTTTCCCCTTGTTGAAGGACAATGCCTGCTCATTGTTTTATAAGATATAATAAATCACAAAGAGGAGAAAAAAGCTGGAAGCAGTTACTATTAATATAATCATGCACAAACTTCTTAAATTTGTGTACAATAATTCACCTAAAAATGTTTTTAAGTAGTCGCAGAGCCCTGCACGACTGCCTTGGGACCTCGGGATTGTGGCTGAGGGCTTTACTTATCAGCACAGGCTTGCTTCTGTGTTACTTGACGCTTCCCACTCGCTCTGATGGCCGGGCGGTGCCTCTGGAAGGTAGGGTCCCGCTTGGCCCTAGAGGAGCAGTGCTTTCCTGGCTTATTTCAGTTTGAATGTCCCAAGGCTGACTTCTCTTGGCCCTAATTATCCAGCAGGCTGTTTTTTCTGCCTCTCTCCTGTTCTGAGAAGAGATGTAATGAACATCCCTGTTTTAACAAGAGTACCCAGAATTGTCAGTGAGTTACATATTCTACAAACTTGCAACTCTCTATGGTATTTTCTATAACCTTTTGCAAAACTCAGAAAATGGTGGCATCAACTTGCATAGTTACCAGCCATGCGTGTTAATTTTCCCTGACTTAGAAAATCATAACATATGGTAATTGTAGTCTAATTAATTGTAAGCAGAAAGTGCTGAGTTCCTATTGTTTTTAATTGGCATTTTAAGGTAATCATAGAGCTGAACTTTTTTTTCACATGCTTATGGTCCACATTCATCTGCTCCTTCTAGACAGCCAGCCAATCAATATATCTCTGTCTCTCTCTATCTCTCTGTCTCTGTCTCTTGGTCTCTGTTTCTGCCTCTGTCTGTCTCTCTTTCTCTTTGGATTAGACCGAGATCCTTCCCACTGAGCTATATTCCCAGCACTTTTTTATTTCTTATTTTATCTGTATTTTGGAAATTTTGAAACAGGATCTCACTAAGTTCCCCAGACTTGGTTTCAACTTGTGATCCTCGTGCCTCGGCCTCCCACAGTGCTGGGACCATGTGCTTCTGCCGCCAGGTCCAGCATTCCCCCCTCTGTTGTAGAGTCTGGTCCCCTCTTCCGGTCTGGGTGCTCTGTCCTGTCCCGCAGGCTCTAGGCCTCCCCTGCTCTGTGGCTCATGTCCAGCAGCTCATCCCAGGGCTGGGTGGGTTCATGTCCTGCTGGGCACGAGGGGCACCGTCTTTGTCCTCCTGAGGCCCCTGCTAAGGGGGCTCCTCTGCTTAGGCTTTTCAGCTAAGTCCTATGGGACTGACTCTCAGGATCCGAGCATACTGACTCTGACCTAACTCCAGTCATGTAACCCCAAACCTCCAGCTCTGTTTCCACACATGGCCTGCGGTAGCTTTCCCCATGTCCAAGCTCTGCCAAGCTCTGAGAAGTCCTTATCCTGAGAGTGCAGAAGCCCGTCGGAGGCAGCAGCCTGCTGGGCCTGGCGTGGCTGTGTGGACACTAAGGAGCTCCGGTGTGTGGTGGTGTGAACACTCGGGTGTGTGCAGAGATCCTGGTCACCTCCCTGAAGGGTCCTCTCCCGCATTTACTCAGGATCGGGCCTGGAGATGGATTCCTGGGTCCTGCCGCCTCATCCATTCCTTTTGGAAAACTTCCTAGGGTCCTGGGTTATAATTCCTGCTAAGTTCCTACCCTACCTGAAACATTTTGTGTGTTCTTTAAATAAAATCTAAGGAAGCCAAAATGCAGACGGCAGATGGAAAGAGCGAGACGGCAAGGCCGGGCAGAGCCACTGAGCTCCACTTGCAGCTTCCACTTAGGCACATCTGAGAGTGATTCCCGGGAGCCAGGCGAGAAAGAAACGTTCCCCTTTCTTTCCTTTAAATCAGCCCCAGTCCTGCCCGCTCTCTTCCTGTGGTGGCATCCTGGCCCTGGTGCCCCAGTTTGGCGTCTTTCGTCTTTCTAATCTCCTGTTGAGCAGAATCTTCCAGGCCTTTGGCACCCTCCCCTTGGACAGAGCCTCTGGCTATCCGGCAGCATTTTATGTCCACAGGGCGGAGTGGACAGCTCCCCAGGGCTCAGAGAAGCGAAGCTGCGGCGAGGTGTAGGACTCTGCCTTACTGTGCGGTTAGCTCCGCGACTCTTGAGCGTGTGCCTGTGAGAGTCACCGGGAGCATTTCCCTGTGGAACTCAGTTTACTTTTGACTGGTCGGGGTTTATAACAAATATACTGCATTTAGTTGTGCCTGTTCTTTTGAAAGATTAAGTTTTGAGGAAGATTGAGCGTGTTAACACCACCTGTTGCAGAAGGTGATGAAGTACATTTCTTCTTTTGCTTCATTTTCATAAAAACAGTCTTTTGTATGCATGTGGAAAATGTCACCAATTAGGGCAATTTTCCTCTGCTTATTTACTTTTTGTGAAAGCACACGTGGCCAGTGAAGGGCCACAAGGCCTGTGGTTTACAGAGCCGCAGCAAACAGTGAAAAGCTTGGAGACAGGCTCAGTATTGAAGGTAGGAACCCCAATGTGTCCATGCGGGCTCTGTACTGCCCACTGATCCATCTACGGGTTCTCTCCCCTCCAAAGGACAGAAGGCTTCAGGGAGAGCAGAGCTAGTAGGTGAAACAGTTGTAACTATCTTCACATTCAAGAATGAAAGATGCCCCGTCAGTCAGCAACAGTGAATAGGCAGCAGCTCCTCACTGGTGCAGAGGGAAGCACGTCTAATCCCCACCACTGACTGCAAAGACACACTCAGGTTATCGTGGTCTCATGATTCCTCCTTTTTGAATAATGATATTTTATGCACTTTGCTTGAAGAATATTTCCAGAGATCAACCAGTATTCCAGCTCAGTCTCTATCCTCACATCACCCCGGATATTGTTTTCTGAGTGTCTGTGTGTGTGTGTGTGTGTGTGTGTGTGTGTGTGTGTGTTTGCATCTGTGCTTGGGTGCATGTTGGAGGGTGTGAGAATTGTGTAGTCCAGTTTAACTGTGTCAAAGTTTAAATTATAAGAAGAAAATTATGTATTTGCCTGAAGTTTGACAATCCTCTCTGAAACGGGCGGTTGAGTTCTATAAAATGCACAACTGCATGAAAAAGGTACACACTTTCTGGACCTTCAGCTGACTGCTACCACAAGGCTCAGGGTCTGGGATGGAGACATGCTGTGATCGAGCTCTTCCTAACTGTGTCCCTGACATCGCCCTTCCTGCTGGCTAGGCAGGCCCCACTCTCTCCCTAACTTCTCCCCTGTGGCTTTTGTTCTGTGACAGCTGCATGCGGCGGGAACCTGACAGGCCCTGCGGGAGTCATTCTGTCCCCTAACTACCCTCAGCCCTACCCTCCGGGCAAGGAGTGTGACTGGAGAGTGAAGGTGAACCCAGACTTTGTCATCGCCTTGATATTCAGAAGGTACGGCCACCCCTCGTGTGGCAGGGCGCTCGCAAATGCCACAGCTGGAAGTCGCTTCCTTTATCCCTGACAAGTACCCAGCTCCACACCTGTGCCAGCCCCGGGCCTTGTGTCTTGTAGATGCCCCACCCAGGTGCAAGGTGATCCAGCTGGAAATGCATTCCGTGTTTTGGGGCCTTCTGCTTGTGAGACACGCAGGAATTAATTCTTAATTCTTCTGATCTGGCACACAGTGAGATTCATTTACAGAAATATTTTAAAAGTAGTAAAAGTATGATATGGATTTGCTTGGTGTAATTTCTCATCACTGCCTTCTATTTTCCTAAACCTGTGCAGGGAATTCATTCGCATGCCGTAGTCTCTGACATTCCCGAGGGTAGTACTGTTACTCTTATTGGGTTTTTAGGACTCAATGGGGCTTTGAAGATGAAATCTTCCCAAACTCTGGTTGCTGTAAGGTTTGAATTACTAGATATGTCTTAAAAATGTGCTAACTCATTCCTGCCAGATTATAAAAGATTAATACTAGAGTTCTTTTATAAAGTAGGTTCTATAATACATTGACCTATCAATGTATAGTAGGTGATAATTAAATTTTTATTGAATCTCAAGGTCTTTTCCAGTGTTAATGTCCCAGGGGCTTCAGTTGTGGACTGAATAGGTGTGCTGTGTTTAGAGGGACATGTCCCAGCACCTCCTCCGTGGACCTCACAGCTACCAGAGCAACAAGGCCTCAGGGTACTTATTTTTCTGCCAGGGTCACAAGTTTCCTTCTCTGGACCTTTGGGTCAGTATCCAAGGCCCGGTATGGTCGCCTCCTCACTCTTCCTGATGAGACGTGAGGCAGTGTAATTTTAAGAATCTGTGGTTCTGCTTAGGCGGAGTGATTAGCCGGCATTCCCTGAATTTGCTAAAGCTGCTACAAATTTTCCAGATGATGAATGCTTTCTGACGCCTAAGTACATAATACACAACACCAGTGAACACCTATCAGCTGTGCTCGGGACAGCATGGTGGTTTTTGTTAATGTACCTTCCTTACAACCAGCAAGCTGCTCTGGTGCCAGCAGATTAAAAAAGAAGTCATAGTCAAAGGCCTGCTGGTGGCCACAGAAATTCAACAATAAGAATTTCCCACCCTCCCTCATTATAGGTCTAATCATCAATGTTCCTAAATGCAGCTTAGCTGATGATATGAAAAGCAGTTTCATGCCAGAATTTTTTTGACTGTGTTTCACATACGTCTCTGGAAAAGTCTGGAGCAGAAGATCTTAGTTCTCTCCCGCCTGGGAGACTCCGTGAGCCATAAGCTCAAGAGGTCGGAGTCCCGGACCTTTCCTCTGATCCAGATGGTTTCTGTGTGCTCAGCGGGAATCTCACAGCCGGATCTGTGTGGCAGGGCCTGGGAAGGCCAGAATCCTGGCTGGGAAAGAGGCTGTTCCCGGAGACAAATGGGAGGCTCCCGAAGGGGCCCGAGTGGACATCAGAGGCACAGTTGCAGGACAGGTGATGAAATGGCCCTCCCCACAGGACGTGCTTAGAATGGTGTCCCCTGGGGACTCAGACTAGACTAGAGTCAGGGGAGCATGCACAGGGCAGCCTGGTGTTACTGACTGTGAAGGACAGAATTCCTGAACTGAGGGACACAGGTTCCCAGGATCATGCTGGGATTCGGGGTCCGGGGAAGGAGGGACCTTCTACCACTGCTCCTACAGACTGGGGGGAACATTCACAGGACTCCAGTTAACTTGGTGTGAAGGCTTGCTCAGTCTTGGGACTGACATGAGGGCTTGTGTGGCACTCATAGTGCAAATAAAATAGGTCTTAACACGGAACCATCACAAATTGAAAATCTATCTTCAAACTTCTAGGCATGAACTCTGCTATATTTTTGAAAAGAGACTCTATGGAAATTTTTCCTGTGTCTGATTGTATTTTCAATGTTCAATATCTCATCTATAATAATAATTAAGTATGTGAATACTGGGGATGGAATATGACCCAATTCTGGCAACATCTTTGCAAAGTATTCTAAGTGAAATTATCAACCAGATAAAATTCTATTATGTCAGTCCAGTTCCTACCAGCCCCTAAACTTGGTCACTGCTTGGTTACTTCATCTGCTCTAACTTTGGGGGAGACCTTCTGCCCTCCACCTATCTTGACCTTCAAGACAAGCCAGAGCCACTAGGACAGCACATTTCCCTTGTTACAAAAAATCTTGGTGCTTGCAGTCAGCTGTGGCCCAAATTCTGCCCCAGGGAAAGAAAGCTTGGGAGCCATCGAGAAGAGTGAAAGCCGGTGAGAGCAGGAGGAGGAGCTCAGGCTGCTCACCACCTGCCTCGGCGCCTCCTCCTGACTGTCCCCATCCTGCTCACCTGTTGGGACACCTGACCAGCAGGGTCACAAGGGGAGCACCTGCGGGCTCAACGCACAGTCTGGCTCAGCTTCACCCCTGTCAGAGAGCAGGTCCTCCAGGCTTCCTGGCAGAGCGTCAGACCTGACAGCGTTGACTCCGTGCTGATACCAGAGGAGAAGAGAGGATGAAGGGAACTGGGGCTCTGGGTGGGGTGAAAGACGTCACAGTGACCGGCAGCAGCTTGGAAATGGACCTTTGCCTTCATGGGGGCTGTTACCATCTCCTGCTCAACTGAGCCACGGAAACAGTAAACATTCATCTTACAATAAAAATAAACACAAAATGATATGTGCAAACTTTAAGGATATATAGTAATACCGAGAATACATTTATTTCAAACTAAAATATTCAGATAAAAATAATGTATCAGTGGAAATTGATTCCTTTGGAGCCTGGTTCTTTCAGATTATACTTCATTATCAAATTCATGTGTACAGAGAAGGAGTATTATACCTGCATTGAGACGGTTCATTTCCTTTTAGCTGTCTTCCAAATTGTATTAGGTTGAGTGTTATGGTCAAAATAGCAAGAGCATTTATTACAACTGGTACACGATGTTTTGATTTGGCTTTTGGATTGCTGTCATTATTGAAAGTATTATGCGGAAGTAAATAGACTCATCTTGTGTTTGAACAGCCCCACCTTCTGGGAGGTTTGGTGATGCTATTGTTAGGTGTTAACGGCCGATTTCCTTGTCTTCAGCTTCAACATGGAGCCCAGCTACGACTTCCTGCACATCTACGAGGGGGAGGATTCCAACAGCCCTCTCATCGGGAGTTTCCAGGGCTCCCAAGCCCCAGACAGGATCGAGAGCAGCGGAAACAGCCTGTTCCTGGCTTTCCGGAGCGACGCTTCCGTGGGCTTGTCGGGGTTCGCCATTGAGTTTAAAGGTACTGTATGAGCAGGGTCCTGGGGAGGTGCCATGGTCTGGACCATTCTGGCTCTGAGGCACCTGTGTGAGACCCGGCATCGCTGCCTAACGCAGGCGGTGCTGATGTGCGCCCCACTGTCGCTGCCTGGGCGGGAGTGCCACTCCCCCACCAGGGAGAAGGGATGCGAAAGACTCACTTCTACCTTAGCTGAAAGGAAAGAAGAAAGGGATTTGGTTTTTTGCCAACTCATAGCCATTTACAGGTAAATGATGGTTTGCATAGTCAACAAGTTGATGGCATTCAAGAATTATTTTAAAATATATTTACATGTCCTCCAGTTTGCTTCTTCAGGGTGACTAAGTTTCAGTACATCTGCATAGCTTAGTTAGACTCGATGGTTTTGTCCGTGGAATCCTTCTGCCTCCATTTCCACCTGTGGGCACGGTTGTATGCAAGTGCTGGCTTGGGTGGAGTTCCTTGGGGACTTCACCTGACGTAGGGTCCGCCACCCTCTACCATTATCATCCGAGTAAAACACTCAAGCCCAACACAAGAACCACCCTGAACTAAATGTTTTTTTCCTTTGAGTCCATGAAACAAAACTTTTTCAAGCTCATTTCTCCTGTGAATAATAAATGAACTAGGGAATAATAAAGAACTAGGGAACAGGAATTAAGAAAATACCAACTCGCGGTAACAAAAGTTTTGTTAAAAAATTTGTTGAAAATGCATTCATTTAAACTTTGAGTCAACTTGTAAAGAAAACTGTAAAAGAAAGTGAATGATGCATTTCATCTCTTTCACCTCTCTGATAGATTTGCATTTCTCTATACGCGTTTAAGTAGATAATCTATTTCCTCTAAAACTTCAAAGCTTATGAGTTTTGGGGTCTTTACTAAAATCTGCAATAAAAACGCTTAGAGCGTTTGTCCCCAGAGGGGCCTGGTGCCTCCTGGACATAAGGCAGGTGCTCGTGAGTGTGAAGTGCTGGCTGCAGTGCAGGCCCTGTCATCAGACAGATTTTGCATTAACAGGAAATCACTGAAGCACACTGCACCACGCCTGGGCCCGTTCTACTAATGCCAAAACCAAAATAAAGCAAAAGCCAGCTGACAGAGAAAGAGCCTCCCTCTCAAGGTGGGGTGAGTGTTAGTCTCCATGTACTGAGCACGGGTGCTCCCTAGGTATGCTCGGGTGAGGCAGTCTGTGAGAGGAGTGAAGGGTGTGCGAGCTCCCCAACAGGGGGCCGGACCCACTGCCTCATCTTTGTTTTGGTTCTTTGGGGACCAGTACTTCCATGTGAGGAGGGGTTACAGCGCTTAGTATATAAGTCCCCCACTGAGTTTGTGAGAAAACTCCTGGGGAAGAACAGCTCCTGTGCCCTGCGCCAGCAGGGAGACGATGTCCCTGCCTTTGGTGCTGTGAGCTCAGAGCCAGCTGCCAGGCAGGACAGAAGCACCAGGGTAGCCATGCTGCATGGCACCCAATCAACCTGGCATGGTCCATCTATTTGGCCTCCAGTGCAGGAGCAGACAGAGGTGCCCATAAGCAGGGCAGACAGGAAGAGCAGGAAGGCATGCCATGTTAGGAAGTCATCTAACGAGGGAACACAAATTGTAAGAAAAACAGGACCAGTGATTTATCACCAAACACGTGGAACTGACAACTCAGCAAATGGAACCAAAGCATGGATGCAGTTCCTTCCTTGGAAGAAAAACCTGCTGCCAGAACTCCGAGCGAGTGGGGCGAGCGGAGGGTTCCGTGTGGGGCCTTTCACCAAATGGCAAACCCAATAAAAGAGAGTTATAACACAAATAATCAAAGTGAACGAGAAGGTCACAGGTCCACACTGACAGAAACGTGCTGAGCAGGCTCCCAGTGAGTTACAGGGAAACAAGCTGGGCCAGTGCAGCGGACACTGGATGTTCACACGGTGCTGAATGCCCGGATGAACAGCGAGACGGAACAGCTTTAATAGCGCTCGCAGTTTTCGTGGTAGTTCCTTATCTGCCTAAAATAAATGTTCTGTGTCCTATATGGAAATTAAGGCTGCTGCAAACAATTATGAAAGCATCACTTACCTCTTGAGCTACCCAAATAGATTTTTAGGCAAGGCCTTAGACCCAGATCTCTGCACACCCCAGTCCTGCTGAGACCAACAAGAACAGGATAGAGGCAGCAGGAAGGTTTCCACAGTTATGTCTGCATCATTGACCAAAATATGTACACAGTCCCTACTTCACTAAGTATAATGAAAGGTTGTAATGGATCTAATACATATACGTTATGTTTAGATACAAGACTTCTTAGAGTAATAGAATGACTGCCAGTGAGATCTCTATTTGGCTGATGTTGATATACAGATTGTTAAAAGTAAAACTGACAATACTGAGTAAGTACAGTTACCAGGCCTCTTTCTACTTTGCATTCTCACACCCATGCAATAGTGAGCTGGAAAGCCACTAAAGCTATCGCACTGTCATTCTCTCCTGCAGGCCTGCTAAGGTCTCTAGAGTGGTCCAACATCTGAGACCAGTTAAGGGAGTTAGGGGTTAAGTGGTGGACAACAGGAAATGGTCCCTAGGAGGAAATAAAACAGACACAAGCGGCATCGATCCCAGCTCTCCAGGTAGCACCCCATCTCCTGCTTGTAGTCTTGGAGATTACCGCATGTAGGTATTGAAATTTTCTGTAACGAATCAGGGGAGTCAGAAATTTTTGTCAGGGGATACAGTTGTCAGACCAAAAAAAGAAAAAAGCTGGGGGCTGGGGATTTAGCTCAGCGGCAAAAGCGCCTGCCTGACAAGCGCAAGGTCATGAGTTCGGTTCCTGGTACCGGAGAAAAACCAAAAAAAAAAAGAAAAGAGCTAACACATTTGTTTTTCTCCACTGTGAAGCTATCCATGAGCCTAACTTGCTATCAGTATCACTATTGTCATACACAATACTGAATGGGTTTTCATAACTTTATGCTCATTTAGTGAGATTTTGGATGGTCTGTTAAAGTAGAAAGCCTAACTATTAAGCCTCCCAGAAGATAACTAGACTCGATCATGTAATAGCAAGACTTTAAGGGGAAAGAAAGACCATTTTGTATGTGTGTTTGGGAGCAGATTGTTTTTAAGTGCAGTTGAAGCTGAATGTCTCATTTCATGGCCCGAGAGCTGCAAGGCCTCCACAGTGTGTGTCTGTGGGATGGTTCCGCCTCCAGAACTCCAGGCCCAGGTAGCCCTCAGCCTTCTGAGGAAGGGGAGGCATGTGGGGCCCTGCCCTCACCCCATGCAGCCCAGCACAGGCAGCCCCCAGCCTCTCACCAGTTACCACAAAGCCTAGAAAGCGCTTGAGCGACTATCATGTCCCAAGCCCCACTGTGGAACACTCCTGTCACTAAGGATGTGTTTCCTGTGGAGTTCAAGTCTTCAACACTGGTGCACAGCTCAGAGAGTGATAAAAGGGTCGGCACACCCTTCTGGTCTCATGCTCTGGGCCCGGTATTTGTGTGAAAAGGTGCTTTCAACCTTCATGACTGAAGCCATTCTCCCTTTGTGAAGCCAATCCTCCCACCTCTTCCTGAAGGCCTGAGGTGACTGATTCCACGTTGGTACTGACACAGGAGAAGTAAATGTAATTCCCAACCTGCTAGATGTCAGATGTGCCACGTGTTCCCCAGAGTCAAGAGTGAATTCTAAGGAACGACATGGTTAAGAGTAGGAAAGATTTTATTGAAAGATAGAGAGATGGCTCCTGAGAGACAGGACCCCACTTCTCTAAGAAGGCTGGCTCATAGAACAAGCTCACGAAGTGGGTAAAAATCTCGAAGTGGGTAAAAATCACGAAGTGGGTAAAAATCTCGAAGTGGGTAAAAATAATGAAGTGGGCACAAAATCACGAAGTGGACACAGCATGGGACAGAACAATGACCAACCAATAAGATTACAAGTTTAACCACTTAGGTGATGTGGATCCAATGGGGAAGCAGGTCACGTAGCAAACACACATGGAAAGAACAAAGAGCTTTTTAGGAAGGATGAGTCAGGAGGTCCTGGCCACCTACTGGGGTGACTGGTGTCTACCTAGACTTTATTGAACTAGGTGGTACCAATTATAGTGTACAGCTTGTCCCTCAAGGAGGCAGCAGGCCTGGTCATTCCACTCTATCTTGAGGCCTGGCCTTCATGGATGTGCCTCCAGCCGCAGCTATGATGTGTTCTCCCGCTCTGCACTGCCTCCTTGGAGGGCCCAGCCCTGTCGGAGTGCCTAGAATATTTCTACCTAACTTTGCTGTCTATAATAGTGTGACTTACATGCAAAAGCAGGAAAATGAACCTCAGTTTTGCTTGAAGCAGTTTATGGGGTCGGGTCCTAAGTTTCACAGCCAAAACACAGATGAGTGTATAAAAGGTAACGTTGTATCGTCTGTGTCAGGCTGAAAATCATTCCGTATTGGTCCTATAGCAAAGCATCATTTTAAAAAAGACTATGATTATTAAAAGGAATTCCCCCATTTTTATTTAATCAATAGGTTAACTTAGTCATTCACCAATCAAATATTTTCAAGCATTTTTCATATGTGCTAGGCCCTAAATAAATAAATAACCGGACCAAACACAAAACTAAAGAACAGCATCTTTCACGGAGACCTCATTTATTTCTCGTACAGAGAAGCCACGGGAAGCTTGCTTTGACCCTGGGAACATCATGAACGGGACCAGAGTCGGCACCGACTTCAAGCTGGGCTCTGTGGTCACCTACCAGTGTGACTCTGGCTACAAGATTGCAGAGCCGTCGTCCATCACCTGCACGATCGGGGCCGACGGGAAGCCCTCCTGGGACCGCATCCTGCCCTCCTGCACAGGTGAGTCCTGTCCAGCTGCCTGGCACAGGTCCCCAGGGGGGCCGCACGCCCAGTGGGGCTCGTGAAGTGCAGCAGCAGCTGATGCCCTCATGTCCCGTCTATCACTGACTTGGCCGGCCCTGGGCTCTGCTCACAGGCTCTGGCCGGACGCCTCTTCCTTCCACTATGGTGTTCAACACTTTCAACTTCTGTTTTTATGTGTTAAGACCCAAACTACGTGAGAGGTACCAATTAACATTCCCTAACTGCTTGTTTCTCAGGAAGCAGATCAATAGATCGATAATGACTAATCAATAGAAGGGTAACGAGAGTGGAGGGGCCGGGGATAGAGCTCAGCAGCACAGGCGCCTGCCTGCCAAGCACAAGGTCCTGAGTTCGATCCCCAGTGCAAAAAAAAGAGAGAGGAGAAAGGAAAGGAAGAGAGGGAGACTTCAAAATACACATTTTTAAAACTGGTGCATCACCTTCACCCAAACATGTTTTGTAAAACTGAATAAAGCCTCTTCATAAAGGTAAAACGAACCTTCAAGAACAAAGCAGAACTCAGCTCGCTGGGGACAGAGGTTGGACAGCAGCTGCCCTTACGGCAGCCTCCAGGGTGGCCAGGGCGCTTCCAGGCGTTGGCCTGCTGCTTGTCCTTGGATGGCCTTTGGGATTTCCAGCAGTGATGGTCCTGCCCCTCTGAGCTGAGGACCGAGACCCCCCAGCCAGGCACTGTGGAAACAGCACTGGGGTTTGCTCAGAGTTGGAGCCCCACCTGCCTAATAGGCGCGAGGCTCTGGGTTAGAGCCGAAACAGAATTCATGAAGTAGCTCATTCCTGCAAGGCGAGTTGCATGCTGCGTTCCCAGCAACACTGCTTCGCTGGATTGTTTTAAGACCCACTCAAGGACCAGTTCAGTTCAGTAAATTGAGTTCAGGAAAGGAATGTGTTTTCCACCTGTCTAATAATGCTGCTGGTGCCATCTGAGCAAATAAATGTGTAAAAAATGGGCACATGAAAAATGAAAACACATACACAGGACCTCAGTCACCCGCTCCTTCTGCTATCCCTGTGCTGAAACTAGTCACCCCTGACTCCAGGGCTTTTAGGTCTGGCCTCTCTTCTTCCAGGACCCAGCAATGCCAGACACATGGAGGAAGAGTTGAATTTAGATTTCTAAGTCTATGAATTGATGATGAATGAGTGGATAAAACAATTTTCGCTGGAAAAGTCTACCTATAAGCCTTCCAATACTTAGGTACTTTTCTGTTGTAGTTAACCTGGGGACCTGTGTTTCAATAGCAGATGGCAGGTCAATTCAAAGACAGCTGTGTCACAATCTGCCTGGGCGCTTGGTAGCCGAAGCACCTCTACTGTCCCCTTCCTGTGTCCTAGAAGGAGTCTGTACCCCCTGCTGTATCTCTAACCCACTGCACAGGGCAGTGGGGGTGATGTAAGAAGACCAGGGCAGTGGAGATGAAGCAGGAAAGTCAAATTCAGGAAAGAGCATGAGCTTTATGAATTGTAAGTAACTGTACTAAAGAAAGTTAGTTCATATGAAATTCAAATGCACTTTGAATCTGAGGGAGGATGGTGATGCTCCAGCCACAGGAGAAACAAGCAGTGAAATCTTACTTGGGCAAAAAACATGTGATCAAATTGTGATGCTCCAGCCACAGGAGAAACAAGCAGTGAAATCTTACTTGGGCAAAAAACATGTGATCAAATTTTACATATGTGATCAAATTCTGAATCAAAGATTACTTCTTTTTCCAGGTCTGAAGACCTGTGAATTCAAGCGCTGTGTTCTTCTTCTTGTTCTTGTTCTTGGTTTTATTTGAAGGTAATCAAAGCTCGGAAGCCACGCAGCCCTGGCACTCTATTCGTGTGGAGTAGGAGTCCCTGCCCCCAGCAGGCCTCTAGGGCAGTGACGCCCGGTGGTGCCTTGGGGGGCCTGTGCAGGGATCTGTGTCTGTGCTCCCTCAGCAGCTTGGCGGTTAGGGGGTTGTGCATAGTTTTGAACATTTTCAGGGTTATCGCATTGTAGGACACAGGCCACCTTGGTCCAGGTCCCTTGAGATACAGGACGACATTCTGCCATGGTGACTCTTCCTGTTGCCCACAGCCTTCGCCCCTTAAGTTTGCTGTGGGGCTGGAGCCAAAATCGTAGCACCCAGGGCCGCTCCCCACGCTCAGCGGCTCTGGGACGCGGCTAGTTCTCGGCATGCTGGGCCCGACGGCCTCCGGTTGCCTCACACATGTGAGAGAGCGATTCCAACTAGCAAAATGGATGAGTGGGTCCCTTTCGACCCTCTACAATGATTCCTCTGGCCTGTCTTTAGTCATTTAGAAAATGGTTTAATAGGCTGCTACCAGATAGTGCATTAGCACACATTTATTTTTCTTCTGTGGTTCCATTAATATAAATTAACTTGCAGCAGGCGAAGGGTCATGCCCACTTCTTAGTTAACACAAGAGCATGGACAGAATAATTATTAATTATTAAATGTAATAATAATTAAGTGAAAACTCCCTGCATATGCTTATCAATTTCAAAAACATTTGGCGGAGCCTGGAACGTGTTTGGTAGCTGTGGTGGTCAGCCTGTGAGTCTGAGAAGAGAGTCTGGACTAGGCATGATCCACTCAGGCAAATAAAGACCAAAAGGCCAGTTTTCCTTCATTTCATTTAGGCTTTCCTTCGTGTTCTGTTGTCACAAGGCAGCTCTCTTTTATTCTACGCCCAGACAAAATACCTTTGTAGTTGTATCTTAAGAAATACGTCTGAAAGGTCCCTGATTACAGCAAGTTTCCCGTGCATAGAATCCACACATCCAGATGTTGGCCCAGGGATGATTTCCCCCTACTGTTCATTTCAACTTTTTTGTCAAAAAACGTACATGAATTGTTTAGCTGGAAAAAGAAGTACTTGCCAAATAATCTTGCATTTTATAGGGCTGGGGGAAAATAAAATGAATTTTCACCCCTCATTTCTACTTATTTTTAGAACTTTGATCTTCAAGTTTTTGAGGGGGAATAAAAGATTGCTCTGAAATAAGCAGGATGAAGTGACAATAGCAGAGGGGGTGCAACTGCGGCTGCCGCTTCCTGGGCAGAGCTCCCCATGGATCTTTGGAATCCGCCAGCCTCGGAGATTAGTTTACAGAAATGTCCTCCATCGAAAAGTGGAAAGAACGGTTTTCTGTTGACACGTGTGGAAATGTCAGCGTTAGTGCTGGGAATGACGCGGTGACCCCGAATCCAACGCTGGCACGCAGCCTCGCTGAGCTCCTTGCCTCTGCTCTCTCAGCTGTCCCTGGGCAGCAATGCAGCTGTCAGAGGGCTGAGCTGTTGTCCTTGGACTCAAAATCTCACTTCAATTTTCCAAGCCATTGTAATGCAAGGATTTGGGGAAACCAGTTGACGGGTCATTAACTCTCTTGACAAATCATTAACAGGGTCCCTTCACATTAGCATTTCGGTATTTTAAGGAGTTCTATTAATCTTGGACACTGTTCTGTCCATCAGTTAGGATTTAACAGCGTGCTAATTAACATTCAAGGGATTAAGCATGCCATCTCTAATTTGTATTTTTTCAGTGCTTGAAAATTGCCATATCAAGAATAAATGAGCTGTAGAAATACAAATTTTCTCAGATGCTGAGAACGGCTCTGAACCCCAGTCAGGGAAGGTGCATGCATGAGACCAGTTAGCGTCAGGCCATGCGCAGCGAGGGCAGCTTCGAGCTGGGCAGACAGGGAGGCCACCCTCGCTTCACATCGCACACGTGCTGCGGAGGTGCTGGCGACTTAATTTAAAAACAGCGTGAAGTCCCTCGGACTGAGTCAGAAGTTGTTTCTCGATGCTCAAAGAGTGTTTTGAGTATGTGTAGACAGATTTCCTGCTTGTTTGTAGCAAAATATCATGCCAAGGTAAAGGAGAAAATGGGAGGGATCAAGACCGCACGTGCTCTGACACTCACTCCCGTGTGCACATGTGTGTTCAGGCCACTGGTTCTCTGCTGCACCCTCACATTCACCTGCCCCAGTTTTCCTTCCGTTGAGTTTACTGAGAGACGTTTCGTGCACATCACTGCTTCTGAGTTACACGGCCTGCTCTTTGACTGAATTTGTGCCGGGCAGGGTTGAAAGCTCAAAGGAAAACCGTTACTTTTTACTCTTTCAGTCTCATATCAGTCTTATAGAAAACAGCAGTGACCTTTGCGTCTTTTAAATTAACATGATGATTTATGTAAACTAGACCATTACAGGGGCCCTTCACATTAACCTAACTGTTTGTCCTTTTGGAGCCTCTTTTATGATTGTGATAGCTGTGTCTGGTTATGTTGGCACGCCTGAGATAGGTCTTAAAGTAACGCTCTTCCCTAAGGTGGACAGAGTTCATTCGAAGCAGTTAGTCTGTGTTCTTCCCTTTCTATTGCTCTTGGTAACAGTGCAGGACAAGACTTTCACTTAGTTCTTCTGGTGACCTGTGGAAAAGGCCGTGCGCCCTCTGGCCTCGGCTGCCGGCTCTTTGATGTGCTCACTGTTCTTGGCTGGTTTTGTTTCCAGCTCCGTGTGGAGGTCAGTACTCGGGATCCGAAGGCGTGGTCCTGTCCCCCAACTACCCGCACAACTACACAGCTGGCCAGACCTGCCTCTACACCGTCACTGTGCCCAAGGAGTTCGGTAAGCAGCGGTCTTTGTCTCCAGGCTTTGTCACGTCCCTTTCCGTGCTAACCTCTCTGTCATTCAATAAGTGCCACAGCTCTTAATAAAAGAAAACAATATAAAATTAATTGCATGAAGGCAGCGGGTTTCCCAAGCCTTTCACATACAGCGTCCACTACCGTTCTTTCACCAACGTGATATTACGTGTTTATCTTCCTTTCTAGGAGTCTGACCCAGAACCATCATGAAACATTGATGTGCCCCATTTTTTCTTTCAAGAGAAATTACTGCTTTAAGTGGGTATTTATATGTATAAGGAATGATCACAAAATAACTTGTGCTTGGGAGGTGGTGGACTGGCATACACCTGTAATCCTTACTGCCTAGGAGGCTGAGACAGGAGGGTATTAGGTTGCAGCCCAATCCAGATGATTTAGTAAGACCTTGCTTAAAAGAGAAATAATAAAAAGGGGCTCAGGATATAACGCTGTGGTAGAGCAGTTGCTTAGCGCGCTCAAGCTCTTGTTTCCACCATCATCCTGCAAAACCAAACAGGCAGGCAAAGGGCAGCCGGGGGTCAGGAGCACGGGTCCCCCTGTGTGCACTGGCAGATGGAGTAGTCAGATTAGGATGGAAACCTTTGGGTCCGTAGCACCCTTTGGTATCTGTGGGGTGTGGATGGGGCAGAGTCCTGCTGGCTTCCCAAGAGCTGACCCTCCAGTTTCTTCCTGTGCTGCTTCCCGAGCCATCTCCAGGCTGACTGACGGTCCCCAGGGCTTCCGGCACCTGCCCTCGAGGCTCTGGGTCCTGCGGGTCCTCCCTGGAGGAACCAGACTATATCTCTTACGGTCTTACAGGCTATTTCTGTTTTTGCCAATGGAGAAATTAAAACCCTACCTAGCCAAGGTTTTTGTTCCTCCTCCTCCTCTCTTTGTTCCTTCCTCCTCCTCTCTTCTTCCCTGGAGACTATTGATGGAGTGAGCAGGTAAGTATGAAATCAGCAATCACTGATGCAAAAATAAAGCAGATGAAAATCCCAAGGTGAGCATGTACTGAAGGTAAAACATTTAAAGAGCACAGCATGGTGGCCGGGGAATTTAATTGCTGGGAAGAAGCTTGCACGGGAAAGCATAGCTTGCAACGCCCTTCGGCTGTGCTGTCGCAGCCGGGCCTCTCCAGGCCAAGACCGACCCACAGGTGACCCAGCCACAGCCTCCGGCTCGGGGCGCCCAGAGCAGCCAGGCAGCTGCTGACCCAGGGCTGCTGTCCAGCTGGCTTCCTGTGAAGGCAGGACTGCTGCCTTCTGCCCTAGTGAAGAACAGCCCGGTCAGCCTGAGGCAAAGAAGGAGCAGAGTGGCCAACAGAGCGACTCGCTCCAAAGGAGGGGGAGGGTCCACCTCAGAGTGCAGACGTGGCGACTCTGATGGCTGAAAGTCGAGACTAGGCCTCGGCGGTGTCTTTTCCTATAATAAATGGGTGACGATATTGGGACACTTTCCACTTCCCACTGTGCTGGGTCAGAGTCTCTGAAGACTTTAGCCTCAGTCTGGATCCAGTATCAGTGTAAGGAATACATTGTTTAACTAAACATTCAACATGTATCTAATTGCTTTGTCTCAAATATTCCTTTTACACTTTGTTAATTCAGCACAACGTATTTAGCAGCCTTATTCTAAGCTTCTTATTAGCTTATTATTCTAAGCTTATTACATAGCAACTTTATCCTGTGATTATAGTTGATTGTAAAACTCTGATATATATGCCAGTGAAACTATTTTTCAGCAGGAAAAGCTCCACTCTCATTCTAAATATTGATTATAATTTCCCAATCAGTCCCAATCAGAAGGGCTTATTAGTACAAGCATTATAGTCTATCTAAAGAAAGGTCTGATTTGGAATATAAGTGCTCTATGGAGAATTCAGGTAAAACCTGTCCTGTGTCACCTTCACCTTCCTCCTCCTCTCTTCTTCCCTGGAGACTATTAATCGAGTGAGCAGGTAAGTTGCCTATGGAGAGAAGTCCAAGGACACAGAGATGTGTGAGGTCTGGTCACACCCGACACCCGCACAGCTGCTCTGGCTGGGGTGCACGCTGCACATAGGGGGTGACCGTGATGAGGAAGGACGTCTGCTTGCTGTGGTCAACACAAGCTTGAAAACAGGAAGTGACATCTGAGTGTCATGTCTAAGTCACATGACATCAGAGACCCCAATTTTCTGTTTTCATCCAAAGGCAGTGAAAAAGTTTCGTTTATAAAACAAGAATCGGACCACATTAACATCGATGAATATTTGCACTCACTTCTCTGGGTAAAGTGCTTAAAGCGTGTGTGGGTCAAGTGCTGGATAAGGGTGTGTATTTAGGTTTGTCCTTCGAGGCCCTGTGACAAGGGCCCCTGGCCTTGGAAGACAGGTCCTATTTAGACTCTGGGCCAGTTCTGTCACCTCCAGAACTTTGTACTTTGTATTCCGCTTGTCATAAAATGGTTGCTGATATAACATTCTTACACACACAAGCACACAAAAGGTTTGCCCTCTCAGCGTTGAAGGAGCAGCTGTAATGCAGGTAACCACTCCTCTGGCTTCAGTCCAGCCTCACACTTCCAGCCACAGTGTAAACATCCTTGCAGGCGGCTCATCTCCCAGCAGACGAGTGTGCCGCTTGCTGGTGATTCTGAACTCAGGTCAGCGGAACCAGGGAGCAGGCTTGGGGTCCTCGGGATGAGCTGGGCATCTGCTGTCTACTGACTTTTGTGCTCTGCATCCACATCTGTGTGAAGAGCATGCACAGGTGAGAGTGTGGCCATTCTGGGACCCATCGGGGGCTTCTTCGTCCCCTTAGCTGCTGTCATCAAGTAGGAAATGTTGGTAATTGATTCATTTTTGTACAAATTTAAGGACTCAAGCATTCAGCCTCAACATAATAAAAATTAGTTGATTTGGGAGGTGATAAGGTGAGCAGGGGTTTGATGAGATGTATAGAGATATCGTCACATTCTCTGTCACTCCCATCTCTGAACTGCAAATTTGTAGCACACTTCACCCACTGGGACTCTACCTTAGTTAGAGGCCTCCTTTGTGCTTTGCTCGAGGAAGTATTAAAATCTCAAAATAAAAGCCATGTCATGAATGTTTTTAGATGTTTATTACATGTACACAGTACTCACGGGTATGTACATACAGCTATAAGCACAATGTCATAGTTAGATTGCTTCAGTTGTGCTTGCACATTACTTTTTCCCCTAGAATACTGACACGCAAAAGTAACCTACACATCACCAGTCATTGTTCATAATGATTTAGAGTGACTGCTGTGCAGAGCTGACACAAAAATAACGAAAGGATTGGTTGCTCGTTGCTTATAAATAGACGCTGGGTCACAAGGTTTTCTAAATACTGCAAAGCTAAGCTTATCATCAATTTCAGTACAGCGACATAGATTAAATTTGGACTGTGAAATGCACATTTATGTTTTGCCTGCAGGAGGTGTGAACATACAACTTTATGTACCTATAAAATAGATGAAATTGTACAGTGGACTCACAATACACAATTCCTAGTGTCTTGCTGAATCAAGCATAGGACTGAGTTAATATGAATTGGCAGTGGCTTAACACAAATTAGATAGAGTAGTAACTTTTGTAACTAGTTTGAAATTCCTCACCAAATTATTGTGGTACTTGGCACCAATGCTTATTTTTCACCAGATGAAATGTCAATAATTACTCAAAAGTAAGTAGGATGCCATTAGAGATGATCTTATACTATCTTATGATATGAGTCATTAAAATAAAATAATCCTTTTTGATGTTCTAATTTTACAGAAAGCAGTAGCTTTCTTTCTTTTGTGTAGTACCAGAAAATCAAGAGGCAAAACAAAATTGTTTAATCACTGAAAACTTAGGAGACAGAATAAACTCAATTGTTTCTGTGTTCCTTAGGATAGTGACACCTTGGGGGAAAGAAGCTTCCCATTAGTTTTGTAAACATGTTACCCCTTCCACCCCTTGTCTTCCAGTGGTGTTTGGACAGTTTGCCTACTTCCAGACGGCACTCAACGACTTGGCAGAATTATTTGATGGAGCCCATCCCCAAGCCCGACTGCTCAGCTCCCTCTCTGGGTCTCATTCAGGTAAAATTTCAAGCAATTTTTGCCTTTAATTTCATTGCACAGTGATGGAGATTAATTTTAAACTTGCCTATTACTTTTCCTTTTTTGATGAATGAGAAAGTTAATCATTGTTGATTTTGCAGGTGTGTTTGGCAAGGTTTTATTTTAGATACTAGACTTCAAAAGTGTTATTATCCCATATATAAAACACCTACCTTTATCATTTTACTTACTAAGATTCTGGAAAATATAATATTAATCTTACAAAAGAAGTGAATACCAGGAAAAGAAGAAGGGATGTCCTCTGTACTTTATTTTCTATTCTTCATAATTTAACCTTCCCCTTGCAGATAAAATCTTCGAACATTTTGTGCTAAGTCATTCCAAACCTATTAAGTCGTAGGTGTGGAAGGCTTCCTCAGACTTGGATACTCACAGGGTGTCCTGGAGCCAGCCTGCAGATTCCAAGGGAGGCCTGCGTTCTATTTGACTAATACAGCAGCACGCAGTGACCTCATCCTCCACAGATGACCAGCCCCTTATGTGTTCCGTACTATGCAAATCTGCTCAGTAAATTACTGAGTAAAGTGAATTATGTGCATCACACGATTTGGCCAACCAGTGTTAAGATTTCCTAGTTTTTACTACTTTCTTATTCACTGAAAATCTTAAGACCTTTATTTTGTTCCTCCCTATGGAAGTCATGTGGAGGAAAGCATCAAAGACTTGCACTCAGAGTCCTGGTCCTTAGTACCAGGTTCTCTGCAAGAGCACGCGCCAGTTCCCAGGGCCTTGGAGGTGCTGGAGGGAGCCCCTTCCCCATTTTCCATGTGTGCTTCATTTTCTAATCTTTATGTTTTACTGCTCCAGAGTGCAGTACTGAATGACCGCATTCTGCACAAGGAGTTAGCACATCCACAGAACGTCTTAATTCTTTGTACTTCTCCTTCTCCCTTGGTGTACACATTCAAGGGTTAAAATGTTCATTTCAGAAGACGTTTTCAGAGTCATTTAAAACTTCGAGTGAGTTTGAAGTCAAGGAAAATTTCCTAATTTGAAATAAAAATGTAGCAAGTAATGATCAAATTAAAGTAATCCAAAGTAAAAAATTCATCTGATATTTTTATCTCCTATATTTTCAACTAAAAATACTATTGGCCATTCCTTCAAAAAAAAAGCATCGATGAAACACTGATTATAGTTCATTTTACAAAGTGCATAGGCAAGAACAGTGTTCTGGAATCTTTACGAAAACGTTATGTTTGGGTCTTAAGCCACAAAGTGAAACTTCTAGAAGAAGCTTAAAATTTCTTTGTGAAATTTCAAAGTAGTATTTATTTTTCAGAAAACTAAGGTTCATCCCGGTGCTGTCTATTTTCTGGATTCCTTCTATTATCTCTGTTTGTAGGTGAAACGTTGCCTTTAGCCACATCGAATCAAATTCTTCTTCGATTCAGTGCTAACAGTGGCGCATCGGCCCGGGGCTTCCACTTCCTCTATCAAGGTAAATGTCTCTCTGTGTCCTCCTCGGTCACCGAACATTGCCCCTCCCGCTGTTGTCAGACAGATTGCCAAAAGTGTCTGAATGGCATTTTGGGAATGCTTAAGGATTGAAGATACCCATATGTTTATCATAAAACTATTTTGTGGAAATGTTAGTTTGTCTTTTCACACTTGAATTTGTCTTTGGACTAGAAGGACATAACACTATTTCTCCAGCACTCCAGGGTGGGGGATCTGTGGGACTGTGCTCACCTGCATGTCTCGGCCCTGGTTTGATCCCCAGCAGTGCAGAGCTCTTTATATCTTGCTGAACGACTGCAGATACAATGTTTATCTAATGAAGAAAACTATTTTATAATGGTTAAGTCTGTCACTGCTTTGCTAAGATGCTTTTAGAATGCATAATATATAATTCTGCATTTTACTGCAAAAACACACTTTAAAGACAATTTAACAAAACTAAAACAAAACACAAAATAGTGCTCAAGTAACTCTCATCAGAACTGATTTTCTATTTCAGATTGCTTATCTCTTACTCACCTTCAGCACCTTTATACTTTCAGTCTCATACCTTATTTGGGATGGCTTAAAATTCTGAAAAGAATTATTTTCCCCTACTGCATTTCCTCTTGGCTTTGCATATTTATTATATAAAGTTGAAAAAGCGCCACATAGATGGCACGTGCACTTCCAGATGTAGACAGACAGGCTCTGGATAGAATTGCTAATGACCAACAGGGTGAAATCTGAGAGAGGTTATTGTCTCCAGAGATAAACTATGTGCTCAAAAATAAGAAGCAATGCTTACTTATTTCAGCCTCAGTTGTGTTCTGAGAGCTTGCAATGGCTTCTTTTCTTCAATAAAAAGGTCTTTGTAAAGCATTCTTTATAATATTCTCTCAAAAATATGTAGAATAATAATGTCATTGCCTCTATAAATCCTTCCTAATAATCGCACATTGTAAAGCCGTGTTCTCCAGTCCTCCAGCTTCACCAGTGAGGCTGAAGATTAGGGAAGTGTAGCAGTGATGCTTGACAGACCGGGAAGAGGCCAAAATATTTCTAATCCCACTTCTGTAGCAGTTGACAGAAAGCTGATGCTGCTGAATTCAAAGCATCTACATCATTGCAGGCTTTAACCTTTATTGAAATGTAAATAATTAACCAGTATTAAAACCGTTGATGATCAGCGAATAGCCTCTTGAAGCAACCTGCATCTTACCACTGCTAATTTTCTTTAACTTCTAAATTACTTTGCAAAAGCAGATTCACAGGCCATGTTATGGATGAAGAAACTAGACTGATTAATTTAAATACCTTTTCCCTGGAAATGTTCAAGTTACTGGTGTTATCCCACTGTCTAAAGACTTCCTTTGATTTCTATAAATATCAGGACATTATCATATAATCCAATTGGCCCAATGTCTATTTTGTCTTTATGTGTTATTCTCAGAACACGTGCTTTTTTAAAATTGTGAATCTTAATGTAAAAGCATACATTATCATGAAAATGTGAAACGTGTAGAAAGGAAAAGAAAACACCGAAGCAACCTACTTCACTTGTTCTTAAGAATATGTAATGAATCTAACATCTTTGATATCTTATAAAGTCCCAATTTATCTCTATTTATTTTTCTCCATCAGTGAGTTTATGTGGAAATCAATGTCATCTTACCAAAGCTACATCCTTTGGAGGAGATGAAAGGGGATCCCAAATGCAATTTTTAAGCCACTCAATAGCAATAGGGAAAGTTTTCAGTCCACATGAAAAGTTAAATTGAACGCCAGTTCTTGAACAATTGCAGTCACATGGGAGCGCAGAAATTCTCTGAACTCTATTGTGTACAATTTTGCTGAATAGTGCTTTCCTACACCATGCATGGCTTCATTCTTTCATAAGTTATTAAAGCTTCAAAGTTGCCCGGCAAGTTTATGATTTCTTGACTGTAGGATGCTAATCCTGGTGAACAGACACACAGATGGTTCCGTGGATGGAGCTGCTAGAGACGTGGGTGAAATACACCACAGCCAGGTCAAAGGGCAAAACATGTGATTCCATGTGAGGAAGCGACAGTCACCATATATGGCTCTTTGCTGCCTGCCTGTCGTGGCTTCCTGGGTGATAATGTGGAGATGCAAATTATGATGATGTAGCCATCTTTCAAACTGGTGAAGAAATGTACTTGTAGAGAGACTCTTCTGGGTTTGGTTTGTTTTCCACAGTCTTTGGGAGTAGGAGGCTACGTCTGGAAAGAGAGAGATGAGGTTGAATAGAACACATGACACCCAGAATGCCTGACCTCTGTCATGACTGCTTCAGTCACTCATCCGGGATGAGTCAGTGCCTGGGAAGAGTTTGTTTGGAAGTTCGGGGGTTGTTCAAGATACTGAGGGCTTTGCCATCCTGTGGGGCGTGCAGCTTGTGCGGTTCACAAGTCTGCAGAGGCATCAGGCACGTGGGACTGACAGAGGTGACCGCATGTGTCGTCACGTGACATCACACATGCGTGAGCACCCAGCACCCTTTCCAGCGGCTCAGGCTTCCTCCGTCTCTGCCCTGATCCTCAGCCAAGAGAAGTGAGAAGCAAATGCTGCAGTGAGACCTGTCACAGGGAGAATTCTGAGTGTGCTCCTGAATTTCTAGTGTCTGGAATGTTTCTAACCCTTCTGAATGGTCCTGCCACTTTCCTCCTCTGTAAGCTGACCTCCCTGAGACGCCAGAGCTGTGCAATTCTTAGTTTGGACACTGAATGTTCAGCTTTGTCATTTCTTTATAGCTATCAATCCTCAGCTTTCCCACCTATCTCCCAGCCCCCAGGAGTCCAGGCTGCATGGCCTCTCTACCCTCTCCCCAACTGCTGAGCTCCCTGTCCCTTTACTGACAACAGGGCCAGGCCTGCAACCGTGTGACCACGCGGCTTCAGTGATCTTTGCGTGTTGTGGGCAGTGGATTGTACTGAAGGTCGGTGTGTTCTCAGTCAATGCAGAGGTCAAAACTTACACACATCATTTGTTAGTGAGCCTGGCACCCTCTCTTCCTTCCAGGATGAGAGCAGGCCTTTGGTTGTGTTCAACAAGTCATTACTTTGCACTTAGCTCCTTTGTTGGACGCTGAGTACCTGCCTGTCAGTATTACAGTCAACACCAGACCTGGGGTCAGGCCAGCAGGGCCAGCTAACCCGAGCTCTCCTGTCTGCGGCAAGCACCTGCCAACTTGGGGCTGTGCTTCCGTGCCTTCCAGACACCGCCTCCGCACAGTGGACTCAACCAGCAGTCTCCTTGGGGCTGAGTTCCTCGTCAGTATGGCGCTGTGCTGACTGCCTTTTACGTTCATGCCTGATCATTGCTACACATAGTCTATTTTCCTTGGGTTTCAACATGCAGTTCAACAGCTCTTTCAGCCCCTCCAGATCACTCACACCAAACTTAGTAAGCTGTGAGGATTCATTGTATTCTGGAGAGAAAATGAGGACGTGCTCCTCCATCATCCCTGCCCCTGTGCTGTGGGCTCATGTCCCGCGCTGTGCCTCGGTCTCCCTCGTCATGACGCAGGAGCCCCTTCCCTTAGCGTTCATATGAGTGGAGTTAATGGAACGTCCGCCTTACAGACGGACAGACCGAGAAACACGAAAACACTCTGAGTGTGGGTGGGAGAATTCCAGCAGATACCCTTGCTCTAGCCCTTCGCAGGCGTGCAAATACATGCTTCAGTCGGTTTTTCCTGGGCTACTTCTCCTCTTAGATGGAGTGAATTATAAGGCTTTGTAAGGACTCATATTGTGGATCAAGAGCTTAGAAGACACACGGTTATGGTAAAGAAGATTCAGCATCGAAGTTTGTTTGAAATTCAGTAATATTCTTTTAATTCCTTGACTAGTAATGGCTTGTCAAATCAGATTTTTCAGCTGTGAGAGGAGAGTGATTTTGAGAAATAGAAAATGTCCCTAGGTCACTGAAGGAACAGGAAAGCGTGTAGTGTGGTCTTGCAGGCCGTTCCGGAACGCACCCAGGGCCGGAGCCTGCAGTGTTAGCTACTGCGGCAGGGGGCGGGACATCCAGGGGTCTGCTGCTGCTGCGCATGTGCGGCGTGAGCTGTGTCTGCCAAAGGTGCGCACAGGGCTGCCAGGCTGAGGACGGCGTGAGACCCAGAGGAGAGCCCTCTCTGATGCAGCAGTGCTGCCGGGGCGCCACGTCACACATTTGTGTTGCCACTGCACCCTAGCCCGGCCTCATCCCCTAGTCACTTCCACGGGGCTGATTTTGGTTTTGGTATGGCAGTAAGAGACATCATTAAAAGGTAGGAATCAGAGCAGGGGAGGTCTCTGTAATGCAGCCTGAAGGGTCCAGGTCAGGAGAGAGCCGGCAGGGCAGGACCATGGTTCCCCTGCAGGATCCGCCCCACCTCCACGTGCAAACGGTTCGGGGTCACTTGGGCGGTTTCCTCTCCCCACCTTCTCAGATGCTTATCATTGGTCGCCTCTCTGTGCTTCCGCACTGCTGCCCTGGAAACCACTCTGCACCGGTGCTTTCAGATGCTGGTGTGCTTCGTTTGGGGTTATTTCCCTGGAGCAGGAATTTCATGGGAAAAGTTTTCATAGCAACTTGGGGCTAAATGATGCTTCCGGCTGGGTTTCCCCTCGTGTTTGGGAACCTAGAGGAACAGCAGTTCCCCGGAGGTGCAAAGCAGAAGTGCCCCAGCCTCTTAAACAAGCGGAATCCTTGCATAAATTGCAGGCTCCTTCCCAGGGATAAGTAGAAAAATTACCTATTGTAGGAAAACACTTCTCCGTTTTGTCAGAAACCCTTGAGGTAACTGTGGAAATCTCCACCCTGCATTCCTGTGCAGAACACTCAGGCATGCAAGCACGGCAAACACAGTCGTGAAGCAGTGCTAGAATATGAGTCATTCTGCCTTCCTCCGTTAGTCATGGAACGGTTCAATTCAGAGATATTATTAATTGTGTCAAGTGTAGTGGGTGTATGGTGCACAATTTTATTAACTTTTGTCTTCTGATAGAAAATATTTCATCAACTTCAATTATTGGCTATAGGGTTGAACCTCCCTGTCCTGTCTCCCCAAATACAGCGAACAGTTTACTTCTGCTTCCAAAAGTGCATGTGCTGTCTGTTTCACGGGGGCTGCATGGAGTCGATCTTCTTGACAGTTCTAAGAGTTTCATGCTCAGTGCATGTGCAGGGACCTGCAGCTCACTCCAAACCTGCTCGTGTATGTGGCAGAAGCATCCCTTCCACTGAGCGGCCACTGCCCTCTTCCCCGCAGCAGCCTTGGTGGCAGCTACCACACCCGGGCATCTCTGAGCCCCAACTGTCTTACTCTGTCCCAACAGTGGAATCATGCAGTGACTGTCCTTTGCTGCGGTGCTTAGCACAGTACCCTCCGGACATCCATCCTGCAAATGACAGGATGTTCCTTCTTAGGTGGAGTACAACTCTACTGCGGGTAGATCATGCAGCTACTAATTACGGTATAAGTATGTGTAATTCTCTTGCTGGTGAATTCAATTGTTGGTGGGCACGGAGGTTGTTTCTACACCTTGGCAGTAGTGAACACCACTGCAGTGAACATGGAAGGGGGGGGAACTTCTGGGGCCCTGAATTGTTTCTTTTGCATAAACACTCAGAACTGGGATCACTGGATCACACAGTGGTTCTGTTTTTCATTTTATGGTCACATGGCGATGGCCATATCATAAGGAACTCTGTGGAGAGTAGGTTTTCCGGAAGACTCTTAGGTCCCCAAGGGCAAGTGCAAGCATGAAGCACACAGGAGTCTGTTCAGTGAGTTTGCATTGCTTGAGTCTGGACCAGCCGACGACCTAAGGTGCTGCCTCTCCTTGTGTGACACCGTCTGAAGGGGACTCTGAGGTGGTCCCCGGGGCAGCCTGTATCTGGACATGCCAGGGACCCTTCCTCAAGACTCGCCTGCAGAGGCTGTTAGGACATCAGTGTCTGTGTACAGGGACGTGTGTCCCGTGCTACCCGCCTCCTTGCAGAGGTCGCTCCTGTCAGAGGTCCTGATGGCTGTGTTGTGTGCTTCCCTGCAGCTGTTCCCCGAACCAGTGACACCCAGTGCAGCTCTGTCCCTGAGCCCAGATATGGGCGGAGGATCGGCTCTGAGTTCTCAGCAGGCTCCATCGTGCGATTTGAGTGCAACCCAGGGTATCTGCTCCAAGGGTCCTCGGCCATCCGCTGTCAGTCGGTGCCCAACGCGTTGGCACAGTGGAACGACACCATCCCAAGCTGCGTGGGTAAGGGCGTCACACGGCCTGGTCCCCAGGCCACGTGAGGGGCCAGGACCTCCAGGGAGCTGCTGCTCTGGCACTGCCTTGTCCACAGAAGTGACCTTGCTCCTGACCTGCACAGAGCACAGTTTTCCGTACCAGAAATAATTGCACAGCAGCTAAATCTTTAAAAGTATTTTTTGTAGATCAACTCATTAGAGTAATATAGACAAAAATGTGTTTTCCTTCTTCATATTTCCCAAGTATGCCATCAGTCGTACAGTGATGGGTGTGCAGCGAAATTCCATTTGGACAAGTCCTTCTAAGGCTGATTTGCTACACTACTTGTGCAATGCCTGCTAGACACGTTTGTGCTGACAGGCACCAGAAGAGCAGTAGGTCAGTGCGGCTGGAATAACAATGGTGGTGTTAGTTACAGTTTGTTCCATTTCATGTAGAAAACCCTAGTGTGACCATGATTACCTCTTTAGCTCTTGAAGTCCTTTGTGCATTTTAAGTGCTCTTCTTCTCCCGGGAGTTGCTCATCCATCCCATCCACTTCCTTTGGACCTGCAGCTTGTGGGGAGGGACATTGCTCTGCCATGGTCCTAGGATTAAGCAGATAAATTATTCTGAGCAGAATGCACTCCAGAGATACCATTGTCACCAGTTGCTACTTCTTACAAGTCCTGAAAAGATGTATGTGCAGACTCCAGATCAGAACTTAGTAGCATAACTGATAATCACTGATACTGCTAATTTAAGAGCCTGAACCCTACCTTGACGAGACATGCCACCGAAAGTATCGCGGTGCAGGTGAAGTTTCTCCAGCTGCAATCTCACAGCAGCAGAAAACTAAGGTCAAATGAATGTGGTGCTCACTGTGCTTTTCTTTCATTAAACGTGGCTGTGCCCTTTAGTTCCCTGCAGTGGCAATTTCACCCAGCGGAGAGGCACGATTCTGTCCCCTGGCTACCCGGAGCCCTACGGCAACAACCTGAACTGCGTGTGGAGGGTCCTCGTGACGGAGGGGTCCGGGATTCAGGTGCGTGGTCCTAGCAGCCTCGCAACCGGGAGCCAGGCTGGAGGGCTCCCTGGGCTTCCGGCTTTGGCTACCTGCCCTCCTCCCCTTCCCTCCCCTCCCCTGCCCTCCTTTTCCCTCCCCTCTCCTTTCTTCCCTTCTCTCCCTCTCTTCTTTCCTTTCCCTTTCTGCCCTCCCTCCTTCTTTTTATCTCTCTTCTTTTTTCTTTTTTCGTCTTTCCTTCTTTCTGTTTCCTTACTCCCTTTTCTTTTCTATTTTGCTGTACTATTTTCTGTCCTCTCTTTTCGGTGGGCTACTTTAAATAATATAGAACATAATCTATTCATCTTTTCTTAGTAATTCCACAAAATGTTCCTAATAATGTTTCTATATTTGAAATAGAAATAGCTGATTTTGAGAATAAAAACCACAAAAAAGTCACTTTTAGAGATTTTGTACGTAATTTCTTGCATTATTTCCTGTGGTTTTGGTGTACGTTTTGTGCCTAGATTGACTTCTGTGGGCCACTGCTGCCTCCTAACCGAATCCTCTGCTTTGGTAGATCCAAGTGATCAGCTTCGCCACGGAGCAGAACTGGGACTCGCTGGAGATCCATGATGGGGGCGATGTGAGCGCCCCGAGGCTGGGCAGCTTCTCAGGTACAGTGACCCCAGCCCTGCACCGGAATCAGTAACCGAAGCAGCACCACACATCCCGGGGACATCGTCCTACAGAACTCCTCCACCTCCGCCATGCGCCTGGAGGGTTGGACCACTGAGACCCAGGGGAAGGGGACAGATTGGGGCTGTAGTAGGGGCAGCTCAGCCTTCAGGGTCCTGGGTCTGGACAGTGGACACCAGGGACAGCCCAGGGCAGGACGAGGCTGCGTGCAGGGAGCAGAGGGAAGCCCATGCACCCGGACTCCAGAAGCTGTGCCGTCCCCCTCCTGAGCACCATGCCAGATCCCCACCTGCCCAGGCAGTCCTGCTTCTCAGCACCTGAGCCTGCTGCCACCTGCAGCTCCATGCTCCCACCCTCTCTCCGCCCCCCATGCCCAAGTCTCCGCCCTGCGAGGGGAGCATGGCGCTTTCCAACCTCTGAGAGTGGCCAGGCTCAGTGGTCTGTGCTGCCCCAACAGTGGCCTTCCCTCCTCCCATGCTGTGGTCTCCTTCCCAGGTCAGAAGAGCAGGATACGTCCCTGTGCCCTGTTCCTGGGGCGGACACCCAGCAAGAGCAGAGTAGGGAGAGATGTGTGCACTCTTGTGCATTTACTCTGACCTAGCAGCAGCCCAGGAGCCTCACAGCCCCCCTCAGGAGTCCTTCTTTTGTAAAATCAGCCCAAATGATCGCCGTATTTATGCCCCGCCAAGGCAGGCCAGGTTGATCCCGTTTCTGTTTTAAAATGAGTGCATCTCTCCCTATTCCGCTCTTGCTGAGTGATGAGGGATGGCACGGGTGCCCACATGCCAGCTGCCATGCAAGGATTTCCTTTTCAGTCCTGCAGCACTACTGGGGGAGGGGAGACACGGCACTCACCCTCGGCAAGGTCCACCTGTGTTTAAGAGAAAAGAGAACCAACACACCCCGACGGCGTGCACAGTACGAGCATGCCGTGGTTTGTGTGGCAGAGGCAACCACGCTCAGTGTGCAGAGACTGCGGGCCCCTCTGCCTTTGCTCAGGCCTCCCTGGACGGGAACAGGGCCGGTCACGCCCTGGAGAGCACGGTCAGTCACCTGGGACACGCACTGTGCACTGTGTGTCTGTCCTCCTTTCGCTCCCCTTCTTGCAGTGTGGCCAGGAGCAGCCCGTCCGCCTCCTCCTTCCCTTGCTTGGCTCTGACAGGGCAGGCATCTCAGGGCCTGGCCGCCCCCTGCGTCTGCTCCTCTCCACACGCCTGTGTGAGTCTGAGGTCCACAGCGAGGTGGTGTGGCCTCAGCCCTGAGCAGTGACCCCATGCCAGGATCAGAAGCCCAGCCTCTGTTTGTCCAATATGAACAGCAGGGCTCCTCTCACACGGGCACAGACCCTCTCCTCATCCCGCGTGGTCAGCCAGGGAAGCTGTGAGGAACGCAGCCCCCTGCTCGGTGTGCTCTGGCCTCCTGAGAACCTGGCTCCCAAGGGCATTTCAAATACTAGCAACAGGACCCGATCTCCACGGCATCAATGCCGCCCTGCGGCTGGCCACAGCGGCAACCTGCTGTCCCTGCGGAGCTAGGCAGAGATGCTCCCAGCTTCTGGAATCCCCAGGCCAGCGCCCGCCACCACCTAGGGTGTGAGGGTGGGGAACTGCCTGCAAAGCACACCCGCACACGGGTCGCCTCGGCTTCCTGCCCGGTGCCCAGCCTGAGTCACGTGCAGCAACAGACTCAAACGGAGCAACCATCTGCAAAACCTGGCCTGTAGATTTCAAGTACATCAAGATCAAAAAAGACAGAGACAGACTGAAGACCCTCCTTACAGAGGGCTGAGGTGGGGTATGCATGCCCTGGCCATCTTGTAAAGCTTTGCCATCGCAGCTGGTCTTGAAATTAAATACAGTCTGGAGCAGAGACGCTGGTCTGCTGTCCATGCTGGGCTTGATTTTGAGAGCTGTAGTGTTTGAAGAAATCCACATCAGATTTTTATAAGAAGTAAAAAAAAACATGAGTGACTTATCAAAAAATAATTATAAAATTCTAAAACATAGGTGCAAATGCACATGTAGTATAGATATATAGAGGGGGATATAATTGTGTAATGTACTGAGAGACAGCAGATAGGTCAGACTTTTTGTACATACTTGAAACATTTTTAAGAAAGAAATTATTTCAGCTTTTTAGAGTGAGATTTAAGGAAAACAGATGGAAAATGATACGTCAGTGAAGAAGTTTTAGAATTTTGGAACATAATCAATATTTAAACATTTTCATTCCTGTGATATTTAAAAATATAAGGGAGATATTAAACCCATTTAAAAGTTAGTTGTTGAATAAAAACAAGCAAGAATGAGCAGTCATAAAACGTGCATATTTCAGGAAAAAGGATTGACACCTCTAATATATTCAGTGCTTTGATTTTTCATTTCTGTTCGGACCGACAGAGTATGAAGGCCTCTGTTTTTGTAAGCCATTTAAAATCATTTTTGGAAGCAGGCAGGTTATAAATTATAAATGAATGAAGCAACGCAAAATGCATATAAATTTGTAGCTGACAATCAGTATTAAAGGAAGTAAACAGCAGTGTGCTGAGAGTGGGATCTTCAGGGACAGTAATACAATTTCCAGTTTACTTTGTTATATATTGTTCTATCTAAGACACAGGAAAACAAGGTAATCAAAAATTTTCTGCCTTTGGTAATTCTTAAAAAATTCACTCAGCTGCATTTTGAGTGAGGAATAAGTGCCTCTGATGGTCCCTTAGGAGCAACACTATCAGGGGAAAACGACCCCAGGAGAGCCCAGGGCACCCGTGGACATTGCCTGCCCACCCCGCCCAGGCTGGGGACACCTGCTTGGCCTGTGTGCCATCCAGGCATGGAGATCTCCCACCCTTGGTGAAGCAGTTGGTGGTTGAGCTTCGTCACAGGCATACAGCACAGCCATCACTCCTGGAGCGGTTTGCTGGGATTATTAAGGAAGACCAATATAGCAGGGTGGATTGTCTGTGTTAGCTCCTCATTGCTATGGCAAAGTTGAGAGAACATCAACCCAAGGAGGAAAGGTTGACATGGATTTGGCTCACACAGTGGCCAGGAAGCAGGGGCAGAGAAGCGGAGAGCCCCACACAGACCTCGCAAAGGCTCACTGGCGACCACTTCCACAGCCATGGAAGCTGCTGTGGTGCCACCGAGGGAGATGAACCAGGAAAAAGTCACAGTATGGGCTGAGCTGAATGTTTGTGCATTCACATCCCTGTGCTGGGAACAGGAAACACATTTAGAAGTGTATCAGGCAGAATCTCAGCCCATAAGGGGCGCACTGGGAAAACTGAACCAAGCACGTGCCAGCGTGAAAGGCGAATCCAGACCCTGGAAACCAGAGGACAGACGGCTCTCCTGATCACAGGGGCTGACGGGGCTTCTGGAGGAGATGGAATGCAGACAGCCACTCTCCAGCCCACAGGAGGCCACAGGAGGGAAGAAGCGGGGAAGCTGTGGGGTAGGCGGAGCCGCTGCGTCTCCACAAGCTCAGGAGAACCCGGGGAGACAGTTCCAGTGACACCGGGACAACACAGAGGCTCGCGCTGTTGGCTGTGCGGTGACCTATTGATCTTTCCACACCATCACCCCCAGGACACCTCAGGAAGCTCTCACCATCACTGACAAGCGCCTCTTTCTTGTCTTGATGTGACTGGGCTGTGGGGAGGAGCCACTGGAGCCAAGCTCCCTTCCCTGTCTCTGGGCTCCACCCTGGGTCCCTGGGTCCCACTTCCCAGCCTCACTGTCCCCAGCAGAGGCAAGGGAGCAGTGGCACCCTGCGAGAGAATTTCCTGTGTGCCAGCCAGAGTCCGCGTGGCGCCACCCCACCACCTGCACCCCATTGTCCGCTGTGTCGCCTCAAACATCATCCCCTCTTACCATGCTGGTGCTGACTGGCCTGTCCACCGCCGCAGCTGTTCGGCTGTGAAAATTATTTGCCGTTGATGGACATCTGTCAGCTGTGTGCGTCTCTGATCCCCTGGTCTCCCTTCTCTCCCGTATCTATCAGCGCGGTGCATCAGGGTCCACTGGCACCACGCTGAAAGCCAGCAGCGCCTCTCTTGCTTCTTCAGCACACACTCTCAGCACTGCTCCAGGGCCCTGCCCCGGGGTTTGAGCCTGAAGTGTCCACACCCCAGGGAACCAACTCCCCCTCACAGCTACGAAAATGAATTGCGGCCCAGACCCTGCATCTCCAGCTGGGAACCCACCTCTCCAAAGCTGTGCACAGCACATGCCCTCAATGGGGAGCAGGTGTAGGGTTCTTGCTTCGCTCCTCTTCCTCCTGTTCATCTGCTAGCGTATTCCCCTGAGTCTGGGCACCGACTGGCCAAAGATGCCTACACTGCGCGGTAAGGACCACATTCACATGACAGGAGAACGTTGTACATCCAGTGAACGGTTCTGCATGCTGAGCCAGGTATGATGGCGCAGGCCTATCATCCCAGCTCTCTGAAAGGCTGAGGCAGGAGGATCGCACTTTTGAGCCCACCTGGGTAAGGCCCTGGATTCAATCTCCAGTGTCACAGAGTAAATAATAAAAGAGTCTGTCTGCTAATCTAAACTCAGTGAGATGTCCTTAATGTGTCTTCAGATTGTAACCAACAGATAGTTGCTTTTAGGGCATTAATTCCTCTTGTTCCTTTGATGTTCTTTCCATTGGCTGCTGGGAGGGAGCCACGTGTCAGCACAGCAGGTGCCCATACGTGTGCTGCACCTGCTTTAGCCTTGGGCTTCCCAGGATCTGGGCCTTTGAAAGCAAGGAGTAATGTGGGGACCAAGGAGGCCAGGGCACCTCCGACATGTCCCAGGCTTCCTGCAGGGAGTGGCGGTGGGGTTCCTTCCACACCAGGGAGGCGGCAGGACCTCAGTCTCTTCATGCCCTGGGTGAAGACGCTTCACACATCTCTCTTGTCTTGATGTCGGACAGGGTCTGGAGTTGGGCCGTGTTGCGGGGGCAGCTGGAGCTCCCTCCTGGGTCACTGGCTGGGCTGCAGCTGCTGGAGACACTGAACCATTGAGCAGAAAGCAGGGGACAGAGGGCCTTTTGTTTTTGAGAATGTTCACCTCCCTTGAATACTTATAAACTTCCTTCTTGACTGTTTTATTTAAACGTCTTCTCCCTCTTCACGCACTGGTGCTGTCTGGGCTGCCCTGTGGAGTTTTACCCCTTGGATGCTCCCTGTATGTCTGTCATGCAGGTCCTCCTTTCCCGGAGCACAGTGTCGGCACAATAGAGAACCCAGCACATACATTTTAGCAGAAGTTCTTGATCTTGCTCACTGCTCCCTATGAGACGATGCACCCCACAAAACCGTCTCGAGCTCCTGGCCAGAGCCTGTTTCCTTCCCTCGGCACCGTGCATGTGGGAATTTGACCCTGCACCTGCCTTTCTCCGGGGCGCTGGTCCCCTCCACAGGCTCGAGCACTGTAACGACAGGAAGCTATGTGAACATGAGCATGGGTTTGCTCTTCACGAATGTGTGGGGAAGGTCATTCCACACCTCGGTGGGAGCACTGCTTGGTGTCAGTCACTGGGTCTTGGGGGGCTGCAGAGTCGGAGGCAGCCTCTCCTGGCATCTGGACGACGCCCTGCCTGAGCACCTCCTAGCCTGTGCAAGAGTGGGGGAGCTGAGATTTTGTCCCTTCATCTGTGCTGAATACAGCCATTCAAAAAACAGCTTACACCATTGAAAAGCCCTGTGAACCCCGAATCCGGGGCAAATACAAGTCTGTGCTGGTGCCCTGGGGTGATAGATTGAGGCCCAAAGAAACGCCATGAGACTTTCCTTGTCCCGAGAAAAGCGGAACAGCTGCGTGAAGGATGGCTGCAGCCAGTTCTCAGGGTAAATAGGAGTTGATCGGGCCAGCCAGAGGGCTTTGTGGCCGGAGTAAGCCCCTCCTGAGTTTCACACCAGAAAGGTGCTGTGGAGCGGGGAGCCCACCTGCGCTCTCTCTTACAGGGACCACGGTGCCCGCCCTGCTGAACAGCACGTCCAACCAGCTCTACCTGCACTTCCAGTCCGACATCAGCGTGGCCGCGGCGGGCTTCCACCTGGAGTACAAGAGTAAGCTCACCTGCCTCTCTGTCTTTCACGGTTCTGCTGGGCAATTTTTTCAAAAGACAAAAGCATCCTTTCTCTCATTAAATGGTGAAATGTCTTTGGTCTAAAGTGATGCTTTAGGCTTGCATCAAATTGAGTCTCAGCAGCCCGAGGCTCTATGGGATACACCTGCAGATGATGAAATAATGGGAAAAAGGCTTCGGTCGCTGGAATAATTACCTGTTGTCTCAGGCTGCTTGTGGCAAGGCCACCAAGCTCAGCCGTTTGTGATAATGCTCATTTCCCTATGAGTGTGAGCAAGTATTCGTATTAGTGTCCACAGCCATAGAAAAGTCTTCATTTCCAAGTAAATCTAACATAACCCTTTTATGGTTTGAGTCTCAAAGGCTGTTAAAATGAGGAGCGCAAGGAGTCCTGTCAGGGCCATGCACGTGTGTGACTCATCTGAACTGGAAGAAAGCATCCAGTGGAGACTCTAACCTTTCCAGAACGCATGTGGGGCCGAGTCAATAGTCTGATAAACGGGATGACAAAGGTCGCCCTCGCAAATCTCCTCGGGTATTTGACTGCTCAGGTAGACCTCGTAAAAGTGAAGTGTGGATTTCCATTGAGAGAGGGGTTTATCTTAGGACAAGCACTAAAAATGCTTAATGTGGGTATTCATCTCCTTTAATAAGCAGTTGCAAATAAGCAAATATACGGATGAGCTTTAATAAGCAAGTTTTTGAATTGAGACAAATAGTTTGCTAGGATATAATGCATGCATCCTTTGAAAGGCCAGATTTCCAGCTGATGATAAATATTCTGCACCAGCCACAAGCCAAAGGCCTGTCTCACACTCCGGTTAAATCCCCCTACTTATTACAGGCATCGGTATGCAAGTGCCTTCTAGTTGGTATGAATAGGCCGGCTTTAGCAGTAGCATAAAATGATCCTGTGGATGTGATTTGTGTCGGGTATGTCTGGAAAAATCTGCTACTTTGACACACTTTGCAAACTGCTGTAGACAGAAAATATAAACCTTATTTATTATAGTGTTAATATATCCATTCATATTTTTAGCAGCATTAGAACTGATAAATGCTCTTCTGACTCTGAAAGTTATCTTGTAGTTTCCGGTTTTACGTTTACTATCTGCGGAAAGAGATGCTGGTGAAATACTCAGTCTGTAATAACTGCCTGCACTCACTGAGTCCTGATGTGGGATCCAGCACTATCGGCATCATCAGTCACATTCCGCTTTGTTCCCCCTCAGTACAATTCTCTAAAAGGGGGAGGCTAACCTGTCTCAGGGACACAAACCTTGCTCAAGCATGCAAGGCTTTACTTGAGAATATAAGCTTTGTCTTTTAAATTATCAAATGCTTTTATTTTTAATTCAGCCAAACACAGCGCTGCATTTTTACTTGTCATTTTCTTTTCCCAGTGGTTGTTTTCAGAGGCTGACACCATCATGATAGTTCAGCCCTTTGAATATTACGAGGAAGTCATTTTCTTGCTCTTTTCATACCAGAGTTTGAAGCACAGATTTTTTTTTTTCCCCTGGTACTGGGAATCGAACTCAGGACCTTGCACTTGCCAGGAGCACAGATTTTATAAAGTATTTTGAAAATTATCCTCACTAAAGTCAGTGTCAAGTGACATAAGGACTTTTGATGTACCTTGCCAAGAGTCTCTAGTAATTTATCCCATTGGCACATTTGGACATCTACCTTAAAATATGTATTGTCTGTCTACAAATTTTTAAATTGAAGTTTTCACTAAAATGTATGTCTGCAAAATAAAAATGAAAGCAACTATAAGTGCAAAGTCTGTACCCTTCCTCACTCAAAATCTGTTCCAGCTGTGTATTTGTCCTCAAACAACCCCTGCTCTTCTTCGGAGGTGAATTAACTGAGCACAGAGTCTTCGGGCTGGCCAGTGCTGTGACACAGCTGAGGATCTAAGGATCAAAGAGGCGCAGACCAGGCAGGAATTTACTGTAAATACTTTGGCTCAGCACCCAGGGAGGGAGTCCCAGCTCCCACAGACAGGACGCTCACCAACACCTTGTTTACCAGCAATGACTTGTGCCTCGGCCGCAGCTGGAAATGTGTGGAACCCAGGTTCTGCGGGTCTGTACTGAGATCCAGCCCGGCAGCCCCGGGACTGCCACCCCCAGGCACCTCATTGCTCATCCTGCAGGGAGGGTTGGCCATCACGTGCCCATGGAAAGGACGCCTGGGCCTTCTTAACACTGTAGGCCTTCATCCCAAGTGGTTGCGGACAGGAAATTTCTCAAACCAAAGCCACTTTCCTTGGAAGAGATGAGTTGTAAACTATTAATGGCTGCAAAGGTGATTCTAAGGTCATTTGGTGTAATATGTGTCTGCAGATTCCATGTGATTTTGTGGGACCTGGATCAAAGCTCAGAGGATCAGGGTCTCTGACTGGTTCATACATTCTCCAGCCTTCTGTCCTTTTCGTATGTTGTGCAACTCAACTGGACAGTTGGGAGTGAACACAAATGTGGAACTTGCTCCGGGCTATGTTTAGAAGAAACCAGACAAATCAAAGCAAGACAGTTAAAGAGCTTTAGATCACAGGTGTGTGGACTGGTGACACTGGTTTTCCCGGAAGGGACAACATCTGACCCAGAATGCAGAGCCTGAACTTGCAGCTGGGGAGAACATGGCAGTGAGTGTCCTTGGACTTGGTCTGGTCTCGGTGGGGCCTGGGGACAGGGCTTCTCAAGGCTGAGCACATGGCCCACGCCAGTGCCTCTGTCCACTGTGTGGTCTTCCTCTTCCCAGCGCCCCTGCCTTGGTTCCCACTGAAATGCCCGCTTCCCATGTTCTCTGCCAACTTCTGTAGTAATCAAATGTATCCACACTGTGGGCTTATTAGATAAGATTCTTAAAATCTTAAATGCTACTCTGCATGTTTACAGTGTACCTGTTTCATGTAGGAGTCACCTTGCCATGATTTTACATCTGTTTATGTATGACATCACAATCCTAAAACCACTTGCTTCGGAAGTTGCTCATGGTACTGAAGTTGCCCATGGTACTGTGCCCTGCATTTTGTTTTTCTTTATAGTACCCATAAAAGGGTTTTTTGCTTAACATTGTCAGTGGTCTGATAGAGTGATTAAGAGTAAGAAAATAAGTATTTTATGCTTACTTTCTTTCTAAGCATTTGTTAGTTCTGTTGGAATGTTTGCCGTAAGTGATGGCCATATTCATCATGGAGGATTTGCACTCAGACATCGCAGACCTTAATTCTTTCCTTTGCCCCTCCCCTCCGACCCTGCAGCCCTTCTTCCTCCCCCAGGGTACGAAAGCTCCATTTCGCTTTTGTCTTTCCTGTCCCTCCTTCCCCTCCCCAACCTCTTGTTCCCCTTCCCATTTGAAAACATTCCTCCGGCTTCCTAATGTCTGTGCTCCACTTGGCTCTGGATTTGTACTTCACGCTCAGTTCCACCCCCTCTGGAGCTACGGGTTGCTCGGGTTCGCTGTGGTTCTGGCTCCTCAACCCCAAGGTCACTTGCTGGGAACTTCAGTGCTGAGGTGCACTAAAGGTGAGGTTGGTGGCAAAGGCCGGGGTCCAGGCACACGGCCCTCGTGGTGCGCTGCGTCCCATCACAGGACTGAGTTCTTAAAGTTGCGCCCTCCTTCTTGCTCCCTCCTGCCCTTTCTTTGCTCCTCCATCCCAGGGAGACACTGAGGGGAAACCCTCACCGGGTGTCGTACCCGAATCTTCCCCTTGCAGCCTCCAGAGCTGCAAGTGGACAAAACTTCTCTCCATTGTAAGATATCGGGTCTGTGGTGTTTTCTTATAGCAGCACAGCACAGACTCAGACAGGAAGAGCTGAGAGTCGACCTAAAACATTTTCTGTCTAAGGCTCTGCCATGAAAATGTCTTAGAGAGATCTGCTAACAGTGAATTCTTTCTTACTGAAAAAGTGATTATTTGCTTTTCATTTTTGAAAGATGTTTTTGCTGGGTATGGAATTCTTGGTTGAATGTTTCTGTTTTCAGTACTTTAAGAATGTTTCTTCACTGTCTTCTCACATCTTAGTTCATGATGACAAGCCAGAAATATTTCCTATTTACGCATTCTTCTGATCTTTTTCCATGGCTTGTTCAAGATTTTTCTCCTTACCTTTTATTTTCATCAGGTTGACTATAATTGTGTGTGTGTGTGTGTGTGTGTGTGTGTGTGTGTGTATGCGCGCATGTGCCCACGTGCTTGATACTCATTCTGCTGCTTACATTCTCTGATGTGTTTGGATCTATGCTTTGATAACTTTTTGTTTATAACAATGTTGGTTGTTATTATCCAAAGTATCACTTTTGTCCAACTCACTTTCTGATTCTTCCAACTGGATGGATGTTCGGCCATGTGATCCTGCTTCATAGCCTTAGGCGGAGTTCTGCTGCATGTGCCTCTTCATCTTGGGGTGGACTCTGAGCACAATGGTTTCCTTCCTAAGCATCCAGTCTTTCTTCCGCTACTGAGGACCCCTGGGAAGACTTCTGCACCCAACACCGAGTATGCTGTTTGTCCCGCAGAGCTTACACTTGACTTCCTATTCTTACCTACAGAAATCTCCCCTTCTCCTCAGGTATTTTAACTCCCTTTCCCACTGCATTCTTTCTATTTTTTTGCACAGCTATTTTAAAGTCCTGCCTAATGTTTCCATTCATTGCACATGTTCTAGTTTGGTTCTTCAGCTTCTACTACCTCTGTGCCCAGGTTGCTATTTCCTGCGTCTTTGAGTATCTCACAAACTTTCATGGACAGGGGACACCAGGAGTAGAGTGTGGCGGCCACTGTGAATATAACTGAGTCTGCAGACGGGCTCTTCTCTGCTGTTCCAGGCCAGGTGGGAGTGGAGCTGGGTCCCTGCTCTGCTGCTGCTATGCTTACTCTCAGTGCACCATGGGCTGATTTCAGGTCCTCTCAGGGTGAGCCGCACCTCACCCGTGCCCAGGTTAGGGCTAAATTGTGCTACTTTACCT